TGTAAAGCATCAGTTAAGCAGCTTAAAAAGGTGGCTGGATTCTCCTCAGGCTTTTGAGTGATCTTAAGATTATCAAAATTGACTTCTATATGGGAAATGGCCTGAAGCCAGGTCAGGGCACACTGAAGCATTTTATTTCGCAGGCACGTCTGTCCCTACCTGCTTGGTTGTTAATTTGATAACTTTAACCAGGTCTTTTTCTAGAAACCACCTAGATTAGGGTGGGTTAAATGAACCTGGTTGGAGTGCTGCTGAACAGTGAGAAAAATGCGTTCCCTCTTATCTGCACTTAGGGTGGAGGAAAGGGTGACAAAAATATCGTGCCAGGACAAATCATAAGCTTGAGTTAAATACCGAAACTCTGTAATATAGGTGCTGGGATCATTATAAGGGAGCCTAAACGCTATTTCATCTGAGATAAATCAGTGAGAGAGAAGGGAACATGAACCGGACCACTCTCTCAGTCCTGGCCACTTCCGGAGAGGACAAAGGACAAGGGGGTTCAGCGGTCGCCTGTGCTTGCTAACCAGGGAATGCAGACTCAGGTAGATCAGGAGATGTGGCGGGCTCCGGGTGGCCAGAATAGGGAGAGGGGTGAGTAGGAGGGGAGACAAGGTGTTCAGGCAGGTCGGAAAGGCAGACACCAGAGGAGGGGGGGGTCCAGAAGCAGGAGAGGAGGAATTTTCTTTAGTCAAGAGGACTTGGGGAGGAATTTTCTTTAGTCAAGAGGACTTGGGGAGCAGGAACTACAGAGAAAGGGAAGGAGCTCAGAGGAAAGGCAGCCTGGACGTACAGAATCTCAGACTATTTGTGAGTTTACTGGCAGAAATTGTTGAGATTTCAGAGGATATTGAAATCAAAAGTGCAGCGAATAAAGTTGTTACTTCCTGGAGCTTTCTGACCCCTCCCTCCTGCCAGGCTCAGGTGGAGACCGTGGATTTGTGCCCTGGTTCCCTATCTGGGAGAGGTCTGTCAGAGGCTGCAGTGTTGCCTCAGAGGAGGCTGAGCAGGGAGGGAGCTGGGAAGGCGGGGAGAGAGACTCCAGAGAGTCTGAGGGGTCTGGCTGGGGAGGGGGCGGGTGTCCGAGGCACAGTGCCTCAGCCTTTGGGAGTTGAGGGGTTAGCAGAGGAGGTGATGGTGAGGGGTACCCAGAGTATGGAGGAGGTCTTACTGGGGGCGAGGATAAGGAGTCAGGGGGTCCGGAGAGAGACGGAAGGGGAGTACTGTCTGGGCCTGATTGAGAGAGTGTTTGGCTGAGAGGTCTTGAGCAGGGTGAAGGTAGGAGAGAGGGACGGGAGCGAAGAAAGAAAAGACCTGAACATATAGGACTTCTGATTCTTGGTAAGTTTCTTGACAAAAATGGTTGAGGTTGTGGGCAATTTTAAAATTGAAAGTGCTATTTTCTGGCTAGTGCAACTCATTGTCCAATTGGTATTGGGGCCAAACTTGGTTACAGCAAAAGACCAGGCACTTAGGGCGGAGATCAGGAGCCAAACCCAGTTCAGTAAGGTTGGCAGTAGGCACCCCAAAGGACTGTCCTTAGGGGGTTGGGACAGAAGACTTCCCATTGTGTCTCAAACTGCAGGGGGATACGGACAGAGGAGAAGGGCATCCCCTGGTCCCCGTTTGCACCCTTCAGTCAGGAGGTGGCCTGGTAACCCTGAGAGGTGCCCTGTCAGAGCTAGGGGCCCAGTAGGAGAGTCCTGGACTCTCTGGAACGGGAAGGTTCCCTGGCGCAGGCCTGCGGCTTTAACCAGCAGACAGGGACCTCGGATCAGAGAGAGACACAATGTAAGCCAAGGAGGGGAAGGGAAGCCTGGCTTTAGGCTTTATGGCCGGTAAAAATGGAGTTTAGTTAGGCCTTTGTTCAGGGTGAGAGGAGGGGGTAGCAGAACATTTTAGAGAAAGCACTGCGGGGCCGCAGACGCAAACCACACAAACGGGTAGAAAAGGCTCAGACCCACCCTCTGCGTTCCCGTCCAGGCAGAAGGTGCAGTGACCGCTAGGAGTTTTGTCATCAGCAGGAATCCCAGGAGGTAAACAGAGACAAAGGCTGGAGGCCACATGAGAGACGGTAGACCCAGAGAAAAGATGGACACAGAAACTGGCCTTATCTTCACACCCCTTTCAGGAAAGGCAGTTAGTTCCAGCTCCTCTTGGGACGAGGGCTGCTTTTCAGGGCGCTCAGCTAGTTAGCTTCCCGCGACCCTATGTTCCCGTATGAGTCTGCTGGTCCTCGGTGTCCAGAGCGACAGACAAGACAAACGAGACAGAACCAACATACAGAGAGATACTGACCAGAAGTCGCTCATTCAGACAGGCTCTGGAGGTTCCAGAAGAGAGGAGGGGGGCGGGGCTGCGTCCCAGCTGAAGCAGGGCTGAGATAGCACGGAGCCCATGTCCCTACCTCTCCCAAGTTTCAGCACCAGTGTAAAGCGGCACTGAGGGACAGGGAGGCAGACGGACATACTGACAGGACAAGGGAGAGCAGAAGCAGAAGTAGCTTTATTGGGGGGGGGGGGCTCCTGGAGGAGGTTCAACAGGTCAGGGAAGTCATACTCAGCAGCTAGGGGAGAGGGTTTTTAAAGGGGTGGTGAGGAATGTATTGGCAATTAGCACATGGGGTCTGGACACTGGGAGAATTGCTTGTGGACTCCTGGAGGCTTTCTTTGAAGGGGTAACATCTGGTTTCACCGGTTATCTTCTCTGGTGCTGGCTGCTGCTGGACCTTTGGGAGGTGCAGGGAAGCACGTGCAGGGCCCGGACCTGCTTCAGCTTAGTCCAAACGGGGGCTGCCTAGTTCAGACCCGGCCCCAACACCCACCGTGCAGATCGCAGCCTGATGTGCAACAGCTGCGCCAGCAGGCCTCCTCAGAGTAGTGCTTAGGGTGGCCACTCGTGATTGACAAGATGAACATGAGTGCGTTTCTGAGTCGGGTTCATTTCCATGTTACCTCTGAGCTCTTAGCTCCATCGTAAGTGATTCTTCATTACTCCGAGAATATTGCTCACAACATCCTGTGAACCCAAGTAAGCATTTCAACGTTGCCAGGAGGTGGCGCTTTGGGCTGTCTACCTCCAAAGACCAAAGCTGCTTAAGGACCTCCTGTTCAACTCCACCTGCCGACAAGTGCCCGCCCCCTCCAAGTGTCCCCTGCCTGTGCATCTTGGGAAGCTGGTGAAATCTGTAGCAAATCCCACTCTGGGAATTGTCTGTCACATAGTGTTCTGAGCACTGGGTTGGGGTGTGGCTCACTTAAGGACATTCCGGATGACAGTGGTCTCCCATAGTCATCATAGGAGGTCACCTGCGTGTGTTAAGCTGGATCTTCATTCTCTAATCTGCATATATGTTCACCTGTCTGTTGAGTTCAACGCTCAGATGTGGGAATCACCCAGGGAACCTTAAACCCAAATATGATGCCGTGACCACACTCCCACCCAATCACATAAACCGAGATCCCTGGGGAGGTGAGACGCTCAAAATGAGTTCTTTTTCAAAGGTCTAATGTGCAGCCAGGAGGGAGGTGTTGCGCTCCATCCTGAGGATCTGCTCATCTACCAGGCACACAGTAGGTTGACTTGGGCATTTATTTCTCAGAGTAAATGAATTCTGGAAGGACACATCGATAAAGAGAACAGAGAGGCAGCAAGGGCAGTGAAGATTATCAGCCTTTTATAAAGTCTGGACACCTGCTGGCCACTTGGGGGGGCTTGGTGTAGGGTCAACAGAGCGCACAGGATGAAGGCAGCTTCTGACAGCATGTCGAGGGGGCAGTTTGCTGGCTGCTGAGCTGCCTTTGACTTTCAGATACGTTTTCTTTGGCGTGCAGGTGGTTGTATATAAATATTAAAAAAAAAAAAGGTGAACAGTCTCTACAAATCAGAGCCAGAGGACTTGGTGCTAAACCCAACAGCACATTTTTGAGGGGGGAGGGGCGGTTCTGTGATTTTCAGTTACCCCTCATGATGGTGATAACTGATGAAATATCATTTGAAAGCTTTTCCTTCTGATCCTCCCATCAGGAAGGAAACTGAGTTTTTACTGTTTGAGAAAAATAAGTGCCCACAAAGAGTTGGTCGGGATCATTGAGTCAATTCTGACACAGCCAACCGTACACTAGCACCAAGTGCTGCCTGACTGCTCCACCCTCAAAAGCACTGTTCTGTCTGAGCCCATTGCTGCAACCACTGTGTCAGGCCACCTCATGCAGGGCCCGCCCTGTTTGCACTGACCTCTGCTTCACCGAGCAAAGAACCCACAGTGAGCTGCTGTCTATTGGTTCTTTCCACAGAGTCCGGCTTGGGGGACAGCAGGCCAGAGTTTGGTCTTGATTTTACTTTGGAACTTGGCGCCAACTCTTTACCTCTCTGCTGCGAAGCCTCAGTCATTTCTAGGGTTCTGCTTCCGGCTTCTTGGTGTAAGAATAGAACAGAGACATCGTGTTTGGACAGCAGCGCGTGAGTAAGGGGGGTAAAGAAGCCCGAAGACAAAGGGTCAGGGGGTCAGTGCTGAGATCCCCGGAGGCCTGGGAGGAACGTGCAGGGACGAAGGGGAGCATTTGGGTTCTAACCAGGGGACCTGGCGATACCCACCAGAGGCAGCCTTTCAAGGGGATGGACAGGCCCCTTGCTCTGCCACCTCTTCAAGGACAAGGACCGGGCTCTGGGACTTGGGCTCTGCCCACAGAAATGGAATTGAGCACCCTAGAGTATTTTCTAAGACTTATTTAAAATTTTTTTATTTCTTAAAAATATTTATGATGGTGAAGGTCGCCCTATGCAACAGGGGTTTTTGCTGTGTGCCCCTTTCATTTCTCTATCAAAACAAGGTCAAGGCATAAATTACTCTGCTGGACACCAGGCATGCCCTTGTCCTCTGAAGTCATGGCTGGTGCCCCAATGGCCCCCTGGCTGGCTGATCTTGGCCACCAAGCCTGCACAGGCTCAGGGTCCCTGCACGGGCTCAGTTCAGTGCATTCCAGGGAGGACCCCCTCATCAGTGCCGCCGAGCCCGGTGCCTGTGCACAGGTGGGCGTCTGGAGGGGTGGGAGGCAGTGTGTGTGTGTTGGGGGTGCAGGAGGGGGTGCTCTCCATCCTGCCCCCTGGTCGCAGCCGGGCAGCTTTGGGCAGACAGGGATGTGGAGCCTGGAGCTTGAGATGCTGTCACCCACACCTCCTGTGAGGTACCTAGGAGCAAAGAAAGCGGCCAGCAGGCGGGGCAGGGGCTGCCTGGGGACATGCGGGTGGCGGTCAGTGTGAATCCTATTGTGCGGAGAGCACACTTGTCACCCTCTCTGCACCCCAGCGTCTGTCTGCATCCCTGGCCAGCAGCTGTCACCATGAGCCTTGGGCTCAGGTTCATTCCCGGGAGCCTGGGAAGTGGGTGGGTGTGACTCGAGCCAGGCAGGGTGGTGGTGGTGGTGGAGGGGAGGGGGCGGGTTCCCAGATCCAGAGCCTGCTGCCCCTGGGTCCTGGTGGGCGTGGAGCTGGGCGCTTGTAGCTGGCGTGTACTTGGTCTTCCTCCCCTGGGGGTCTAGTGAGGTGGGGGCTGACCATCAATCTCTAGCACCAGAGTGGGTGGGGCAGTGATGCCTCCCTGAGAGCCTGGCGGCCCGGGAGAAGTATGGGCAGGGGTCCTCAGTCTACACCATCCCTAGGGATCTGCATAGAGGGGCCCTGGCCCCCTTAAAGCAGGCCCGCTTCTGTTCCGGAGGAGAGAAGGTCGGTGCAAAACTAGCTGGCAGCTGGTGGTCTGTCCTCTCCACCCCAGCGCCACGGGGCACAGGCCGAGCCTGCCTGCCGACCGACTGCCTGGGCCCCTTCCTGGTCCCCATCAACTCGCAGCCTCCTCCCGAGCCTCACTCCAGCACTTTGGGGTTGGGGTCCAGGCTGGCTTCCCTCCTGCGCTTGGCGCTTTGGAAGAAACCGAGCTGTGGGGAGACCAAGGGAGCAGCCTCAGGGGTAGGCTGGGCAGGGACAGGGCTGTCCTTCCTCCCAGGTTTCCTTCCTCTGGGGACCTCCCCCGCACTCCAGTTTGCTCTCAGCACCCGCCCCCCCCATCCCGCCCCACTAGAAGCCTCTCAGGAACTGAGCGGTGGACCCTGGGCTTGCTCCCACTCCCACTCTGCAGGGTCCTCACCTTCCACAGTGCCAGGACCAGCAGCGCCAGGAGCAGGAAGCCCCCCAGGGAGCTGGCCACGATGATCCAGATGGGGACCTGCGAGTCTTCCAGCTTGGAGATTTCAAAGATGATCTGCAGGGGCGGGAGGGAGGGTGGGGCCAGGCCAGGAGCAGTTACTACCGGACAGGGAGGGGCAGCTGGTGGGGGAGCCAGTCCACTTCCTTGGGGAGACACCAGTGGAGGTCCTCCCCAGGGACATCTGTACACAGCGGCCCAGCTGTCTGCCTCTGCTTCCCACTTTCCCAGGATCTTTCTTCTGCTGCACTGGCCACTCTGTCTCTGCGTCGT